TTGTTAAAGGCATTGGTCCTTGCATGCAGCAATGGGCTGCTTGTATGCTGTTGTTCAAATCAATGGCGGGCAATGCTCAACATCAACAATTCAGAAGAGCTACTGGGAAGTAGAAGGAAAGAAGATCTAGATTCAATCTCCTCTCTGCCCCTACCCCAAAAGAGGTCATCGGTGCCCTGAAATTCCTACCAGAAAGCCTATGTGCAAGACCAGTCTGGTAAAAGGCCACAGCACACAGCTTTGAGTCCTTATCCGATGACTGAGGCATTCTTGTAAATTGCAAGACTGAGGCATATGTGTGTGAGATGGTTTTCAATATCAAGCGTTTGTCCATTAACAATTATTGCCAGAGGATTTCTTATTTCTGTGCAGTAGAATGTAATTCTGCTTTGTGCGCCGAGCCCAGTTGTGTGGGAGAGACTAGAATTGTGATTCAGGCATTTCATCCCAGTGTGACTTCTTTATGCGACCTCTGCCAGAGCTGCAGACGCAACATTGATGAGTAATTCAGACCAGGCACATTGCAATCCCATCAAACACTGCAGCCACACATCTTCCATCAAGTCCATTAAATCAACCTCCGTTATAACGAATGGAGGAAGGACCGCAGCAGTGCCTGGTGGATCACACCCTTCGCTTCCCTGGAAAAGCTCTCAGTGTGAATATCGGTTCTAATGGTGTGTTTTATCATGTGGACATTTAGTCTTATTGGGACTATACTGAGACTACCAACTCATTTCACAGAAATGACTGCAGCCGTCAGATGATAATGGCTTTCGTTGACTACTGACCTTGGCTATAGTTAAAGCAATGACCTAGAAGAAGGGAAAAGAACCTTGTCTCATTACCAATTACCTGAACTGCCCAGGCCTGCCTGTAAGTCCATTATCTTAGGGGAAAGGGTGTATCTTTCGGAAATCAACCACCTTCTCTGCAAAAAAGTTGTAAAAGAAAGCCTTCTTGTCCTTCCCAGAAATAACTAATATGTACAAGAAGAAACATTCACTATTTTTCTTTCTTTCTTTTTTAAATTCCTGCAGCACTGTGGCCAATGATGGTACAGTTCTGAAAATGCTGCTAATCTGAATGGTCCTCATTCTGCTTCCTTCAAAGTACTTTGCTAACAAGGAAGGGGGAGCCACTGACTGAACACAGGTTTTTGGATCCCCCTGTAAACCTACCTGAATTAATTTTTCAGCAATTTTCAGAAAGCAGGGCATGCTATTTTGAAATCCACATGTTTGTTTCCATGGAATGACATGGCTTTGTTTTTGTTCACTTTGTTTTGCCATGATTGGAAACAGCTTATTTAAAAAGCAAGTTGGCAGTGTAGTTTACAGACATGAGACCTAGAACTCAATGGAGCTGTGTATTCCAGCCTCTGAACTGGTGCAATTCCTACTCACAGGTCTGGCTAGCCTTTCTACTACTGCCCTGCCCCAATTTTCCATTTTTCTTTCCAACTGGCACTCCACATTCTATGGCTACTGAGCATGCTCAGCTCTAATTGGGCTGTTCTTTTGCTAAGGGGATTCCTCCCCCCTTGTGTGTAACTGTGTTCAAGACAAGATTTTGCTTTGCTTTTGCTTTTGCTTTTGCTTTTGCTTTGCTTTGCTTTGCTTTGCTTTGCTTTGCTTTGCTTTGCTTTGCTTTGCTTTGCTTTGGGGTTCCCCAAGCAGGCTGATTCCCACTGTCTTGTTCCTTATTATTAAAGCTTATTTTGGCTTCAACCCTTTCAGCACTCACTAGCTACATTCACCATTTGAAGAGTGATGCCAAAGTTGCTTTCAGATATTTCATTCATGCTACACAATAGGCCCTTGGTGGAGCCAGATAAAGTTGTTTGCAACTATATCCTTTTGGAATCAATGGAATTTCACATTAGTTGCAACTCACTTGTTTCCAGAGGTTGTACACTAATGGCTATCAGAGCCTGTCAGTCTCAGCCTACACAGTTGGTAAAGATAAGTTTTTAAATGCTCGGAGACTTCTCAGTAAAAGAAGACAGGTTGACCGTGTCATGCATCCCCTGAGTCATAGTCCTGCCTCTCCTTCTTTGTTACTTTCTGTCATCCTAGCCTATTCTGATGCATATTGTGTAAACTTAAATTTTGTTGGCTTCTACCACTAAAGCTCCAACAGGACAGAGGACATGTATAGTCAGTTGAAAGGTTTCATGAAATTATCTAGGCAATCAGCAAAGAACGCAAAACTTCTTCATTTTCTCTGATTGACATATTTTGATTTCCTTGGCACAGAAGTGGAGGGTTGAAGTGCCCAGTGAAAGTCAGTATGGAAGAGAAGGGACTATGGTAACTTGTCACAGCATAGACAGTGGACACCAACAGTTTTGTATGATCAGCTGAACAAATATCAGGGCTGGATTATGTGTGGATATGCATCATGTCGTGACTGCTGCATCAGATGGTGCAGCATGGTTGAATGAGCCATCACAGATCAAAAATCACAAGTGGAACTCACAGATCAGTTTATATCTCACCACGTACAATGATTTTGAATTGAGACAGTTCACATGTTCTTCTGTGAATAATCAAGTGATGCACATGAATGCGTGAACCAGGCCTTAATCTTTTAAACATCTCCCAACCAGTAGACACTTATGAGTACTGTTCCAATATAACATTTCAAGTTGACTTGCCCAAGCCAGAATCTACAAAATGTCTATCACCTGTTTTGAGTGCTACTTCGGTTCATTGTTGTTCATTTGGACTCCATGATTCTGCTGTTTCTTCCTTGAGGTTCTCATGAAGAACGATGCTAAACAGTATGAAAAGAACGAGGTATGCAGAAGCTGCATACTGTTCTAGCTTTGCCATCCTTGTGATCCTTGGTCTACACTAATACACTCATGAACTGGAGCTGTCCTATCGTGCTAGAAGCTTTCAGGGGGAGGTCTAGCTGATTCTGTTTCCTTGGATTTCTGAAGTACTGCAGATTTGGGTCTAGCAACATGTGGATGAGAAACAACATTTTGGAATGTAAAGGAACTGATTTGATTTTGGCTGTATTGCAGAGCGTGAAGATAGCTATCCATCCCACCATTCCACACAGCCACACCCTCTTCACAGCCATAGCTTTTCCATCTTCTGGAATGTACTATTTGTGAGACTAAATACCATCAACATACTTTCCCTCCAGTATCCATTCAGTTGGAATTCTGAAACTATCACTTAGATGACATTTCAAATTTCTGAGATGCTATTAGAAAGCAGCATTATACAAGTCAGACCTTTGGTCATTCTAATTCAATAGTGACTACACTGACTTGCAGCAGCATTCTTTAACTTCAAAATTATCCCTGGCCCTACCTGGAGATTCCAGAGGCAGAAACGTGTGCCTTATTCATGCAAACCATGTGGTGTACCATTCATCGTCAAACTACACAATACATTAGATACATAGTCTCTAATGGGTTGCTTACATCCACATCCATTCTGTTGGACCCTGGCCATTCCTTTCCACAAACGGACCCAGCATTTGCACAACAGAGACTTAGCACTTCCAGGAGCAAATGGAGGAGAGATTGGGCAACTTGCACCACTCAAGGAATGAGTGTTTCAGCTCATTTCAGGACTTCCCCTAGGAAGGACTTCACTTCCGTGCTGGCAGCGCAGTTGAATTAGCAGGGCCCACTACTTGCACACCAGAACTGGCAGAGGCATAAGCTGGATATTGGGCATATGGCACAGGGACCCTCTCCTTTTTCATTCACAGGAAAACATGTGGGTCCCAGCTGTGGATCAGAAATGCAGCATGCAAGTTGTGGAGGGCTAGGCCTTCCACTCCCAGCTACTTCTTTCTGAAACCCTTCCCTGCACCCGAGTATTCGAAAGAGGAAATGTTCATAGATGCCAGCAGAGGCCCCTCCTCCCCCTTTTTTAAACTTTGGGTCAAAATTTGGGGATCCTGTGGCAGTGGCAATGGATTTCTCTAGCATGCATGGTGGTTCTGATCTGGATCAGGGAGTTGTAAGTAAAACAAAAGACAAAACAAAAAAATGGGGGCTGGGACAATATTCCAATATTCAGCTGTCATTCCACTAGAACAAATGACATTGCACTAGCAGAAATTATGTTCCAAACTATGTGCATGAGAAGAGCCCACTAAGCTTAGATTTGCAGAAGTACGGAAGTGTAAAGAGTGACTGCTTGTGCAATGGAAAGTTTTGTCGGGCTTGCAGAATGATAGGAAGCCAGCTACGTTATACCCTGCATAGTTCTGGGATCTCTGGTTGGTATCCTCAGGCACTTCCCTCGATGCATGCCAGACTCCCTTTTCATCGTATGTATTTATTTTAACTGGAGGCTGGCATGCTGCAAAATGACACACTGTCCTCCAGCACCATGTTTATTGGTGATTTGCATCTTGGAGCTGTGCCTTTGACTCGGTTTGTTGGATGAGTTCCATTGCTATTAGTCTCGCCAGTTTGCCTTCTTGGTAAAGAGTATTTTGTAACACACACACACACACCATGGCAAACATTTTGTGAGAGCACCCACAACACTCCAGATGTGTCCACTGATCCAAAAACGATGGGGATCCTGGTGTAAACTGGTCCTTAGCTATTGTCTTTCTGTGCTGCTTCGCTACATTATTGTACAACCATTTGCCGTGAGCCTGGTGTAGGAGTAAAACCAACCCAGATCAAGGGTGTTGGCTCTGAGTTGGGACTGTAGAAAACAGGAGAGTTAACACTCTATGAGTAATTCCCACTAAAAAAGAACGCATTCACTGCTTATCTTTTGCATCATTGCCTGTATTCTTTAATGTAAAAAAGAAAGCAGAGAAAGGAAACTTTTTTACTCTAGGCACTGCTGGAAATAGTTCAGGAGCTATTTTCTCCCTAAGTGGTTCTGTGCTAGCCACTCAAATCTTGAAGAAGCTTGACTTGGGTTGTTGTAATCTCTGTTCCGGAAAACATGGCCATTTTTAATCAGCTGACATTTGCCTTTAATGCTCTTTTATTCTCATCCCTACAGGACAAAACTTTGTTCCATCCGGTGAGCAGCAGCTGCATTGATTGCAACCCAGCAGAGAAGAAGATTTTCATGAACAGATGTGATCCTTTATCTGAAACTCAACAGTGGATTTTTGAGCATATTAATATGACTGTTTTAGAAAAAAATAACAGCAAAAAAACCATCTCTTAGGGAGAAGAAAACAGACTGTTCTGTACAGATTGCAAACAGCGTTTTGACCAGCATCTGGGTCAAAGGAGTCAGAAATTAAGTTTCTTAGAGCCAGGAAATCTGTTCTGAAGATTAAGTAAATGCCAGAGCAGAAGCCAATGGGCTGTCATTGTGGATGGACAATATCTGAAGGACTTGGCTAAGAACCTCACCAGCTGCTGCTGAGGCCTTCTGGCTGATAATTCCCTTGCTGGTCAAGGGAAACTTTATTTAAAAAATGTTTCAAACACTCCGTGTTAATAATGTTAGAGTTTCTCAGGTCAAACCCTGCTATAGTGAGTAGCTATGAATAGTTGCTGTTACTTATGAGGGATATATGGAGTGCATGAGAGCTACTGGGATCTTCAGATGCCACAGGCATAGAACTAGCAACCTTTATGGGATACTGGGGGCATCCCAGGATTGTGAACAAGTGCGTGTTCGAGTGCCATTTCATTCCCTTGGTGGAAGTCAGGTTCAAGAGGGTTGTTTAGATAAGGGACCAGAGCAGCTAATGTTAAGAGCCTCCCTCCCAAATTCTTTTCACTGTTGAAATGGGAATGATTTTTAAAAGTGTACAAGTAATTTTAGAGTTGCATTTTGAATGAAGCATGAAAATGACTGTAAGGTGTCAAAAAGTTCCATTTCTCTTCTGCAGCTGGAGAAAGAAGAATTCCCATCCGAGCAAGTAAATAAAATTTCTATCCATTTTAAACAGTGTTACTGAACCATCATCTGCAATCATTCATATAGCTATCAAGTCATCATTTATGGGATGAGCCAGGAATCATGGAGTGGCCTATCCGTCTTTATCATTAACAAGGGAATATGTCATTTCTAAAAACAGCACAATGCAAGGCTGGCAGAAAAGATTTCCTCTTGGAAGCCTACATTTCTTTCCTGGCACCTTTCAATAAAAGACTTATAAGTAGATTTACATTAATACATCCACCAACAGAAAAGGTACAGTGAGCTTGTGGCCAACTAAGTATGAATGATCTGCCTTTAGCTAAAGGAACAAGCATGATCAGAGAGCTGCTGGAATAGTTAAATTTGTGGAGGCCGTTGCGCGGATCTAGTTGTGGAGTTCTATGAAGCTACCAGGACATTCTGCAGAGTAGCAGCAGAAAATCTGGGCTACTGCTAAAGGTTTCAGTAAATACCATCATAAGAGCAGAAATAGTTTTCGTATATCATGGTCTGTAGCTTTTCTGTAGTTCACAGAAAAAAATCCAAACATTTTCTACATGCGGCTTAAAAATACTACCCCTCTTCTGAAAGCAACCTGCTTTTGGGAACCAAGTTTACCCATCAGTAGAATCACATGTGGTTGAACTAAACCATTGCAACCTTTTCATGATGCTTCAGTGCTTCTCTAGATATATAGGAGGATTTTGCTGATTGTGCATTCTGGTACAGGAATGCAAACGTGAGGCGCATGCACATCAACAATCTGAAATGATACTGAACAGGTTTAGTTGATTCTGGCACATGTTTCCTTTGAGCATGTTGACAAGAACACACAATCAGTAATTGTAAATGTGTTGTAAGTACCACTAATGCAGAAAGTGTGGATTATAATGCTACAAGGGCAAGCTTTATGGCCTCCTGTTGTCGTCAGGGGGACAAGAATTTTGCAGAGTGCCAGCTCTGAGATCCTGTGATCTTGGAGCTGGGGTTCTAAAGGCCTACCTTGCAGCTGGTGTGGGAAAAACCATACTAGCTGCCTCCCTTCAGGCTACAAATGCAGCTCAGGGAGGAGAAAAAGGGGACATGCTGGAGGGAAGTGGAGGAGACTGGGACCAAGGATGTACACCAATTCCTGTTTGCATCTAAGCCTCCCTGTCCCCCACTTAGCACTTTTTCTAGATGGCTGAAAAAGTCCATCTAGATGAACATCAGAATGAGAGGCATGGTGGCAGCAGATCATTTGGGGTGTAAGAGGCGGAGTTCAGAAGCTTAACTCTTAATAGCATTGCTCCCTAAAAGCACATCGAAAGTGCCCCTAAGGTGGAAGAGAAATTAGAAACAAGATAAAAATAATTATACATTTATTACAACTCATAGCATTTCTGAAAACCATTTCCAGCTTTTAAATAGCTTCAGTTCATACCAAAATGTTCTTATTCATATAATCCTTAAATTAGAAGGATATCCTCTGCAGACTTTCTATTTCAATCATACGAGCAACAGAAGCAGGTTAAAAATTGTTTGAAGATACCATTCTCTTTCCTTGACATAGATGAATGAGCAGATAACAATGAGAGGAACAGCCCACTCAATTTTCAGTGGATCTTGGCATTCAAAAACTGAAAGCTAAAGGAGAACCACTGTGGTCTAGCAGGTGGAGAGCTGGACTGGGACTAGGGAAGTCTGAGCTAAAGTCTGCACTCAGCCTGTGAAGCTCACTAGGTAATTTTGGACCAGACATTGATTGTAAGCTTGACCTACCTCACAGGATTGTTGTGAAGATAAAATGAGAGAAAATAAGCTATGTAAACTGCCTTGGTTTTCTTGCCAAAGGAAATATGGGATATAAATGTACAATAAAAATAAACCTAGAGTACAGATGTTGCATTTGACAGAAGATAAGTGAGATGCTGCTTTCAGTTTTAGATAGATTGCATGTCAAATTAGTTCTGAGCATCTTTTTTAGTTGGAATCGCTCTGTCTTGGCTTTCTTAGTCATGTACATGTATTATGTACTATCTCTGTCATGACTTTCTGTGTTAGTAAAACTTTTACATGCAGCACAGTAAGTGAGAATTCTCAGGTTTCAGAGACTGGTGCATGCAATCCCAGCTATTCACAGCAACTGTCTCTCTTCTACCACTAGTGGTTTTACTGATTCATCTTCCATGAACTGGACGTGCTATTTCATATACTGCTACTCAACCTCAAGAAGGAGACTTGCAGATTCTCCTTGTAATAAATGAATTAGATGGCCAATTCTCTTTGAGCATGAGATACGAAGGCAGAGCAAAATTAAGTACCTTGTATAACTAGCTGAGTGGCTACAAAAAATAGTAGGATGGTCACAGGGCATCTATGCCATTCACATGCATATAACTGAATGTCAAATTCTTCTGTGATAAAGACTTTTGTGAGATGGATGGTTTTCCCAAAATATAGTTGTATTGCAAATCACCAAGGAGACATTTTTAGCACTTTTGGCTGCGAACCTGCACACAGAATGCTTAAGTCCCATGGACATCAATATGAGTTAAGCAGTTTAATTTGTTCAGGATTGAAACAGTCTTGCAAAAGCATGAGCATCAGCTGGGAGCCCTGGTGAAAGAGCTAGAAAAGAGCAAGCACTTCCCTCCAGAACTGGCCTCAGCAACACAGGTCTCCCTGTTTGTTGTAGTGCCTATCTCCTGTCTGAACCTCACTGCATCTTCCGCCTTGCCATGTTGCCTCCACATTACCAGTCCTCCTGTTTGCTGTAGTGTCTGCCCCTTGCTTCACCCAGTTCATGCAGTGCCTCCTGCATCCTGCCATGTCGCCTCAGCCACACAGGTCTTCCCGTTTGCTGAAGTTCCTGCATCTTGCCTGACCTGTATCCTGCCTTGCTGTCTTACCTCAGCAACATGGGTCTTCTTGTTGGCCGTGGGTTGGTCCAGCTCCTGCAACTTGCCTGCCTTTTCTACATTTGATTTCTGCTATATCCTGCCTTCCCATGTCCCTTGCCTTGCCATTTGCTTCAGCAATGCAGGTTTGCCTGCAGGCTGTGGTACAGCACCTGCATCTTGCCTGACCCTTGCCAAGTATTCTGCCTTGCTGGGTATTCTGTCCACTTATCCTGCCTTAAGGTACCTGCACCTCTGTTTGTCTTCCTGGTTCTTGCCCTTCGCCTGTTCTGTGACTGCAGCTTGAACTTTGTTATTGCACTTCACTATTGAACCTTGGACTCTATTGTGAGTTCTGTTTCCCTGTCCAGGTGCCTCTGCTCATCTCCTTCCACACATGTCCCAGCCCAAACTCTCTTGAACAGTGTTGTAGGCTTGTCTTAAAAAAAAGTTTGAACCCTTCTTTCAACAGCATTCATAATAGGAGTTAAACACCCAAAGATTTCTATCTTGGGTAAGGCATGCAAACTTAATAGTAGGAAAAGAATGAAGAAAGAAATGTCTGGTAGGATTTTGAAAAAAAAAATCAAAGAAGTACAACATTTTCACCTGAGCTATTTATTATGCATTTATGGTTGCTTACAGATTATTTATATGATGTTGTGACCATGCAGTTTTGCTTCTGTTTTTAAACAGGTGCTAGCTTTTTAAATTTTGTTTAAAGAGCAGGAAAACATAAAAACTGATTCAAAGAAAATTTTGTCGTAGCACTATCTGGCTCTAGCACAGCTTCCCTTGCATAGGAAGGGAAGGTTACGTAGCAGAAAAGCAGGGAAATATTACAACAGAATTAATCTACATTTGCTTCATAATTAACTTGCAGTCACTAAAAATGATGGGGAGGGGTCCCAATCCACACACAGAATACTATCCGATATTGGCATGTCCAGGACTACTGAGGCCAGCAGACCTCCACAAGTTTGCCAAGTCCACATTGGATCATGACCACTGTTTGAGATGCCCAACTATTCTTTTGAATCCCAAGAGCAATGTTCCATATAACACTTTCTTCATGAATTTTAATGATGAATCCATACACGCTCAGCTATCATTAAAAGTTTTCTGGAGTTGGTGTATCATTAAAATGCTGGTCTAACCGCATATTATACATGTTTTCCCACATCAGCATAATATGTGGCATCCAAAGTTATTGATTAATGCTGAAGTCATAAGGTAACCCAGACACAGTTCTTTAGGGGTATGGGGAAGGCATTAATTGAAATCACGTACCACTTAAGAAAAAGCCATTTCCTTTTGATGCTGATACCTTGACCTGAAATAAAAGGTGTCAAATATTTATTCAGTTAGACAATAATACCAGCTCTTTAATCTGTCCAAGTTATTGACATTGCA